TAAGTCTGTAAATCGTCCCCATCTTGGGGGATATTAACTAACACGTGGAGCTGGTATGGTGGGTCTGGCGCAGTTTTCGTAAACTGACTATGACCCTGTGATAATACATAAATTCAATACTCTCCCTTAAATTGGCATATCTGTGACTGAGTTTCTTCACCACCACATTTCCGATGATTAAACCTTTTGATGTAGCCTTATCAATTGAAATTCTCGATTTATGCCACAACCGATAATCTGTAATTTGAATCTCAATACAGAGAGTATAATCAACATCTTTCGGCAACCTGAAGAATTGAATTCCCATCTGGTAACCATAACCTCCTTTTGAATTTTTTATCATAGTGGTGTAAATTACTTTGTGATTGTAAGAGTGAATATTGTTTTGTTCTGGTGATGAATCAGCAATGTTTGTCATGTTAAAACTGTTTCCACCAGGGGTTACATCGGACCACTCCAGAGTATTTTGCATTAAATAAGAGAACTGGTCTGTTTTATGACTTGGATATTTGGATTTCTTGTTCAAAAGACTGCTCGTTAACAGCATCTATATCATCAGTTGGATCTCCAAGATTGATTATCTTATGATTGACCATATTAAATCTTGTCTTAACATATGGCCTGGGTTCCCATTTGAACAAAATAAGTTGTTGCTGAGTAAAAAACTGTAACTTACTATTCCTTGAGTGATGTAACAGTTATAAGAGGGTACTGAAAGCGTAAAATACAATTTAGGGACTGGGATTTCATCTTTTTTTGGAGTGGGAAAGTGGGATTTACTGCTCTGGGAAAGGGATGAACAGTTTTGAAAATGGCAGTGTGATTTCTCTTCTTTAGAGGACTTCGACTCTATTATTTGACCCAATTTTGCAGAAATAAGCCCATTTTAGGGAATGAAGAAATCCAATTATGCATCAGTAATCCTCAGTGGCAATGCATGACAGTGCCGTAGCATGGAAAAAGGGCCGGGGGCCTGAGCTCCCCAATAATTTTGACTGACACGTTTTTAAATTAAAATTTTTGGTCAGCTGCCGCGCTCTTCACGCTGCTCTTCGGTTCGATGAAGCGTCAAAATTATTTATTTATGTCTTCAACAAAGAAAAACTGCTGGAAATTAATGCTCCCCGAAGGCTGACCCTGTAGTTCAAAACCTTGCGGGGAGCATGCCCCCGGACACAATAGCAGCTCGCGCCTTCGGCGGTCTTGATAGGCCCCTCCAATAAATCTAACCTTGCTACGGCACTGCATGAACGAAGTTCTGTCCGTTTCCCTGTGCAATGGTTTGTTGTCGGTGAAATTACATGCCCATTTCAGAAAGATGAAAATAGCGTCCGATTTGGAAAACATTTCCAGCATTTTGCACAATTATAGTCATCGAAGTGTTTTAGTTACGTTTAGCAAACAATGCGGTAATCCACATAGAAAGTTGCAAACTATAATATTTAACTGATTTAAAGTGAAGTGATTTGAATTGTTATATTTAAAGTGGAGATAGAGCGTGGGTCGGATGAAGACGGTGAAAGGGAGAATGAAAGAAGCATATTTAATATGGTTGTGCCAACAAGGGTTCCCCAGGAGCCCATTACTTGGAGCCTCCATATGTGCTGTACCCTTGAGTCAACCCATTCCCGTAAAAAATTATTTTTAGAACAGGCTTTGCCGCGAAATTAATGTGTTTTCGAGGACGTCCGCATATTTCTGTAGTGAGAAAAAAAATGGCGACGAAAGAGGGAAATTGGCCAACAAGTTTATTCCTTGTTCCATCACCGTAGCTCCTGCCTTCGTTCCTTCCCTTACAACCGAGGAAAGCTGGTTTCGAGTTAATGTAAATAATATGTAATCTGGCTTTAAAATATTGCTATATTTTGTTGCAACGCACGAGGTCGTGTTTGCTGTTGTAGCACTCTTCGGATGCTTAAATTTTGCTCGTAATGTTGTATTCCACCGCCCTTATTTAAAAGGAGCTTTTCAAAGAATTAAAAAGTGAAACTCTTTGTTGGAGAGCCAGACGTTTTAAAAGGGAATTGGAGCGCTTACGGTAAGGTCTGTAAGGGCTGATCGTGAGAACCGGCAAATCGGAGGCAATTTTGCGCCCTTGTTAGTAGAAACTGTCGTGTCTTCTGTGACTTATCTACCGCAAGCTGGGACAGCGAAAATCAAGATCTTTCCCTCATGATTTTGAAGGATTTCCTTTAAAGAAGCAAAACGTCGAAGTGAAGAAAGGTATCGGCTTATGTTGTCCGGATTTTTATTCATTTTCTCCGTAATTGATGGTGCTATATAAGTTATTATTTAGTTGCCACAAGACATGAAAGCTTCAAAAACCCTTTGAGTGCAGAATTATCAAACTCAGGAAGAAATTAAACACTATTTGGCAATCACACTATTTCTCAAGATGCTAAAAGATCTCATGGCCGCGGCATATACTTGTAGACCTGAAATAACCGCAAAAGGAATATGCAGGAGAAGTGACATGCCGAAACATCTAACATCCGCCGTAAAACCTCTGAGAACCTTTCTTTCATTCAAAGACTTTAATCTTTTGAAGTCGCTAGCTCCATCGGCTCGCTCCATTTTAATTTTATGACTGCCTGTTATTTTCCTTGTTTACATGTTACTTAGTTTCTTAGTAGTAAGTGAAAAATACCAGGCTCAGTAGATTCTGTATCGACAGTTGTTGTATTGTGTGAATGAAACCCTCAGTACAACAGTAAATTTGTTCGCTTTTATTACGATTTCATTCCTGTTGAACATCTCGTTTGTTTGGTTTATATGTCCTCTTGAAATATTTGCCGTTGAGATTGTATGTTATCAAAAGCCGTTTTCATCCACAGCCACATTAATTTGGCTTGTGAAACTCCGTTCATAATTCGCGACCTCAGATCTCACACAATTCAGTAACAGCCGCCGCGCAAGCGAAAGATGCAGTCGGGTCAGTCGGATCACTCATCGTTTCTGGGCAACGTATCGTAAAGTACTCGATAAAAATCGTCTCGATTTAATGGCCTCTCGATTACGTATTCGCCAGTCCAACCGAGAACGTGAAATCGAGACTCGTTGCCACCTGTCTCGATTACTCGTTTCAGAAACGAGACACGTTAAAATGGGGCCTAAAACGGTCTCGAAAACGTAGGGCAAAAAACAAGATTCGATTTTTCTCGAAAACGTATGGCCCAAAACGAGACTCGATTTTTCGTGTTCGTAGAGACTTGTTCAAAAACTAACGGATCATTCACCGTTTCTGGGCAACGTGTCGTAAATTACTCGATAAAAATCGTCTCGATTTTAAGGCCTCTCGATTACGTATTCGCCAGTCCAACCAATGGTTTATAATCTGAGGATTCCCAAGCGGAATGGCGCGAACCAATTGAAATTCGGGGATCACTCACCGTTTCTGGGAAACCAGTCTAGATAGCCTCAGAAAAAATCGTCCCGATAAAATGGCTACTCGATCTGCCAAGAAGACGTGACTCGTTTAAAAAACAATCCTCCTTATTGAAACGAGGCTCGTTCAAAAAACGAGTCCTTCTGAAAACGAGACTCGTTTAAACGAGACTCGTTCTGCACATGAGTCTCGTGGAAAAACGAGACTCCTTTGGAAAGACTAGTTTAACGAGACTCGTTTGGAAAGACTCGTTTAACGAGACTCGTTTGGAAAGACTCGTTTAACAGAACTACTCGTTCGGAAAGCGAGACTCGTTAGGAAAACGTGACTCGTTCGTGAAACCAGACTCGTTCGTGAAAGATTCGTTCGCGAAGGGAGGCTAGTTAATCAATTAATTAATTTACCCTTTTTATTTCACTCTAAATGGTAAAGTAATGTAATTATCAAGAAAATTATTTTACTCGCAGTCCTGCGTTGACCAGAAACTCCGGCTTTGAATAGTCTTAACCTTGAAAAACTCAGATTAAGGACCATCAACTTCATATATTGTTGTTGCTGTATTTGTTGATGTCAATGTAGGCAGGGGGCAATGAATTCTTCTTTCATTTAGTGTGGAATGATTTATTTCAAATGTTTTCTTTTTTTCAGTATCTAACTAACAAATTGATAGGCCAAATATTACTACGTAAATAATAAAGAGTATTGATGTCATTATTCTCGAGTTGTACCTTTTGTGTACTTAACAATCAGTTTAATTTCTACCACCACTATCTGTTTCATCCACAGAAATATTTTTTTACGAACAATAACCAACAAATATGTTTTTTTTTTTCAGTATCTAACTTACAAATTGATTGGCCCAATATTACTATCGTAAATAATAAAGAGTATTGATGTAATTATTCTCGAGTTGTACCTTTTGTCTACTTAAAAATCAGTTTAATTTCTATTACCACTATCTGTTTCATGCTCGGAATTTTTTTTTTTTATCAACAATAACCAACAAATAGGTTGCCCATAAGGTATAATAAAGCGCTTCTACCATTCCATCATTCTATCTAGAATATACAACACGATCTATAATTGATGAAGAACACGATGTCAATGATTAGAATAAATGCAAAAATTGCCAATCGAAATATTGAGTCTGAAAATAACACAAACGTCTAAAAGGTAGATAGCGCCACTGAAAACAACATTATTCACGGCTAGAAATGATACTATCTATTAACAATGATTTGTTCCACCATTTGCGCTCGACGGTATATATTTTGTCTATTCAAAAAATGCAGGGTTAAGTTTTTTTTAAAATTATTCACAATACACTACAATCTGCGACAAAATTCGTTGAGCCGCTTTTTTCTGCCGCACTTAAAAATGAACTTAAAAATCTACCACACCTCGAAACACAATACCACTATAACCCTATACCCTTTCCCGCATTCAGACTCATTTATCAGGGGGGGATTGGTCAAAGTAAGGGAATCGAGGCTAAAACTATTCAGAAATGTTGTACTCTTAATGACAATGCTTTGGCTACTGTGTCGCAGAGTGTAGGCCGATCTTTAGTTCAGACAATATTCCGTTCTACGTTATCCTCAGGAAAATTCACTCGTTATTCTATTTTAAAACATATATTATAAATGATTAAAAACTTTATTTCAATCTCCCCCTCCACATCGACCCAACGGTTTACTTGTGAAAGGTTACACCCCCACATCGATCCCTCTCTCATTCTTGTGGGTGGTAGCTTTTTGATGGTTTCGTTTTCCTTTCCTGGAGAAATCACCATCCTATGAAGATAAAAACCAAAAGGTTATGAATTGCCATTAATCTTCTATGTGTTATATCGCATGTATACCTGTTTACTTCATATCAGTGATATCCGTTCTTGACAAGTCGTGTCAATCGAGCTATTGCACTCGCGTCATTTTAAATGGATTTTAACTGATCATTATTGGTATAAGCTCATCATAAGAACAAAACCCTCCCTCGACAATTTTCATTACCTGACTCCAATCTACTTTCTGACTTTTTGGGGGGCCTAAGAGGTCTGTCAGGTGCTGTCCATTCGCATGAAAAAAATTTACACGCCAATATTTCACACCAGCTCCTCTCACCTTATCTCTACTGAAACGGGAGATGAGGCAGAAACCAGCTGTAAAAACAAATCCAAGTTTTTTGTGAATACTGCCCTCCAAGTGTATCCGTGGGATTTAATCTCGCCACTCGTGAGAGGTCGTTCTTCTGTCACGGTGGCGAGAGAGGCAGGAAGGTCGTAAATTCTCCAGGAGAATGACACAACCATATCTTCCTTTTCTTCCACTTGTTCCATCACAGTTTCCTGTAGGAGAATTTACAGTACAACTCAGTGTCTTTTCTCCTCTTTTTTTTTTTTTTTTGTTGTCATTGCTTTAAACATTACAGTGGAATCCCGCTCTACGGACGCCCGCTTAACACGGACACCCCGATATTAGAGACCATTTCCTTTGTCCCGTCGAAAAGTTCATATTGTCGCCATAAAATTAACCCTCTTATAAGTTACTGTAATTTTAGTCCGTGAACATTGAGTTATTAGATGAACGTACGGTTTCCATAGATTCAACTCGTCAGTTGCAGTTACAATTAGGTATAAAGTTATCCTAGAGTATGATAAATAGCCGTCAGGTTTCCATAGCCGAAAATAATGTCACAGTCAAAGTACAATTTTTAAACGTTTTGTTGCCGTTAAAATGTCTGCTCTACCCCTTTTTCATTTGAGAGCCTTCTGGCCACCCTGATATTACGGACACTTCGGTATGTCCCCTTGGTGTCAGTATTAATGGTGTTCCATCGTATTTTTTATCGATATCAGTTGAGATACTTACCTTTCTTTGTATTAGGCCCAATAACCGCTGTATCTCACCATGCTGTAAGTCATAGTGTGATCTCGCCGCATCGTACACGTGAGCACCCATGTCCCTCCTGTGTTTTATTTGTTTACAGCCTCTCACTTTGCACTGTAAGGCCTTCAATGGGCAATTGTGCTGGTGCAAACACACATGGGCTCTGAAAAACATTACCAACAGTCACTAATTATTTTGGGTTATACGAACTTTAAGACTAATTAATTAAACCATTCGGAGCTTTGCAACCCGTATTACTTATTGTTACTGGTCCAAGAAAGTATGACCGTACTTCACTCTCGTTTCAGCCGGTTCACTGCCTATAAGTGTGCTGTATGCTGTATTATTGTACTTTTTTCCTTGTACTTCATGCCCGAAAAATCCCATTGGAGAGGTGTTAATGGGTTTATTTCTCAGTATTGAGTCACAAATTCTATTAGCTCAGACGTTGTAATCAATGTACAAAGATTCCTGTAACAGATGCGTCTCATTCTCGCCTGAGGAAATTCTAAAAGGAATTCTTTGAATTTTTTTTGACTAGTTTTTAGAAAAAGACCACGGTGTTGTGAACTGTCAAGATGTGCAGATCGTGCAAAAGTTCAGTTCAAGCTTTACCATGGTCATTTGGTTAATTGTAAGGGTCTTACCTGGGCAATTTCATGCCACATCCAAGTGGGCAGTCTATTTTTGAATAGAAACACTCCCTCCGTTCGTGTTGGGCTAAACGACTTCTCGCTACTTCCTTCCTGCAGCCAGGGCAATCTACTAGAGCCTTTTCGCAGCTATTGCTGTGCTCGTCCATGTCCTCGCGCAAGGAAGAGTGGTGGCATCCAACGTTAGGGCATTTTACGACAGCTTTGGGACAGCCCTTGCCATGGTCCCTTGCTTGTTCCAGAGTGCCTTTCCATATGCAACCAGAATTGCTACAATGCATACCCAGATTTCTTGTTAGTGCGTCAAGGCTGACGTTCAGATGCAATCGATCGCGATGGAAAGTTTCGCGGCAAACGGGGCACGGAGCTGTGTTTGATGCCGCGTTGTCGGAAAGAGAGACGACAGAGTGCAAGCACTTCATGCACCCAGAATGTCCACATGCCAGACTAACTGGTTTTATCATCACTTCAAAGCTACAATTAATACAGATTCAATGATTATTAGTATCACGGCGCGTAGTGTATCCTTTTTCAGATAAAATAAGACTTCTCGCCGAAATTATTATCTTTTACTGGCGCCCACGGCCATTTTTTCTTCGTTTCAGCTGCAGCTTGTATTCCTATAATCGCAAAAACAAATTTTCTAATCAACGTCGGAAGATAAATTTGATAAATGAACCTAATTGTTGGGTGGGCGGGGTGCGACGAACGACACGAAGAACGGTTGTGAAGCTGACTAAGTATTGCCGACGCGAACTTTTATTGTTCGGAGTATGAAAATGAAACGCTCTAGACAGTTGGAAAACACTTCCATGATGTGAAACCGTTTATTTCGTATGAAATCTTGCTTTTCTCGATCTTTTTTCGTCTTTGTAGTAATACAGTAACACGATAAGTCTACGCAGATTTATAATCAATGCCACTCACCCCCACCCCCTAACATTTAACAGCTCTGAAATCGATCATATTTTTAGAATCCTATCATTTTTTCTATTATTTCTATGTTTTACTTTATATTTTCCTTTTTTTTTTTCTTTTAAAAAAAGTTCATTAAAAAAGGGAAAAAATTATATCCACGACCCTCTACCTGAAACCCTCGCCCTCGATATGGAACCCTCGACCCTCGACGAAAAAATAATCTATCCGGTGTACCAAAGGATTCGTTTTTAGGTTATTCAAGGCTTCTTGTCAGGATCAAGCTCTCTTTGGTTTAGCATCAAAGTAGAGGCAATGAAAAGAATATGACAAAACACCTTCAGAGGGCGACTTCTGTTAATTTTTTTTTTCCAGTGAACGGAAGGTCAGTCAAAAAAAATCACTCATGTGTCCAAAACTAAAAGCAAAATATTGCAACGGTCGCATGTTATTTTGTATAAAATTTTTCCTTTAATGAAAGTTAATTTGACAGTTACGTGTCATAATCCTCGCTGTGTATGTACTCCCCAGTAAACTATTCCCGAGAAAGGAACTCATCCGGAAGCTCTCATTATGTGTTCCTCATTAGCATTTTGTTCTACATGTGATTTCGCGTCGACATCTCGTATCCTTGTTGTCGTGTGTCACTAGTCACGTTTAAATCACGAAACGCGTTAAAAAAACAAAGAAACGTCCATAAACGGTAAAAACGTCATAGTCAGGGCCCAAGAAGAAGACCAAAGACGACTTTTCTGCTAACGAATATCGTACTGCTCGCTGTGAACGTTCGAGGTGCCGTCATTTCATCGGCTGGCGGCGTAGTACTTTTAAAGTGGCGGTTGTCTTTGATACCAGATAATCTTTCTATAGATATGTAGTTAGTGGTAGTTAACTTTGAAACAACGCGTGCACGAATTTTGTTCGACGGACAACCGCGAAGGTTAACATTACGCAAGCTTGACAAGGTTAAACGCGCACAGACTAATCGGCTTTAAGGCTCTTTTAATGCGAGCGTTTCACTTAAGTCAAACCTGTAACTAGAGAACAAATGACTGAGAGGTACTTGGTAATCGGTGAAACCGATGCGCACTACAAGGATTTCAAAACGCGTGTCACTATATTGCTGTAGCTACCAGAAACAGAACTTACGTACCAGACAACGCATTCAAAGCCATCCTTGATTGATTCAGAGAAGACGCAGTTGTAGATGTTGTTACCGTTTGTTTCTTGCGCCATATTCGCTGGCTGGTGTACTTCTTTCAACTTCGTGGAGATGGAATATCAAAGTATGATTGTTTCAGAGCGCAAACGTCTCAACAACGTGCAACAGCGTTTCCCAATTGTTAAAAGTAATTTATTAATTTCAGTTATGATTTGTTGTCATTGTGACGTCAAACTCCCAGGGATCGCTGGAATCAATCCTCTACCCAGGCTCCATCTCCTCTACCTATTTTTCGTTTTTAATCAGCCTGGAGGCGTGCGCAGAAGAAAGAGAACCTGAGAATGCGGCTGTGAGTTGGTGGTATAAATTGACAGACTCTTTAAAAGGAAAAAAAACGGAAAATTTTTCGTTCACGGCTTTTGCAGTTTATCGATGTTATTGAAAAAATGATGGCTATTCCCTTTGCTTTTATTGATCATATCTTAGCATCTTTGCAGTCCGTATTCTTTTGATCCTGAGCAGGTACTGGCGCAGATGCAGGGTAGAAGACATTGAGAGAGATAGGGTGTGTCGTCTGCGTTTGCGTTCTCTCCGCGCCAGAAATAGCGTCCGACGAAACAGTAGTCTACAATGTTCCATCGAAATTATCACAGTCAAGCGTGACCGACTGCCCACAATCCATAGACCGAAAACCTTACCAATATATTTGCGTATATTTTATGTTCATATATTTTTAAAAGTATTCATTTCTATATTCATTATATAACCCGCTTACTATTGCTTTAACATTCTTAAATTGTCTAATACTCCGTTCACACCAAAGCTTAAACATGTTTAAAAGTTGTTTAGTTAAACACGCTTTAAAATTATTTTTCTTTATAGAAGCTGCTTACTGGTGTTTGTTGACTACAAATTCAGCGCAAATCAAAGAAAATGATTAAGTTCATCTAAATCCTGCATAAATACCTGAGTTCCAGTTTGCTCGTGAAGTGAAGGAAACAAAAGCAATCTACACGCTGGCTAAATAGACAAGGTAAGACTAACATACGATACAATCTTTTCATCCACTATTTGTAATTGGAAAGAGGCCAACTCATTTTATTTCATTTCATTTATATTCCTTGACTGCCCTGCCTCCTTGCAAAAGACCTAATTTAGAGCGGCTGTTTTCTCGAGAAAGGATTCTGAGTTTCTTGTGAAGAGTTTCTTGAAAGAAAAGTGAAGAACCGTTTTAATTTTTTAATTAAAATTACATGCACGAGAATACCAGTTTTAATTTCTAATTTACATTTTATCGTAACGGTATTCTATCAACCGCAAAGTATGATCTGATGTGCAACAATATTAACTATAACTATAACGAGAGAAAAAGAGAACAAACCATAAATTGCTTAGCTACCCTCCAGCAAGAAAAAGTTTCTTTTCTTATCTGCAATCATTACCGACCGCCGACTCCCGCGGACAACACTTTCCAGTCGCGTTCACCTCAAACAAATCAAAGAACGCCGCCTTATTGACGGTTACAATACAACAATGTTCAGTAGATCGATACAATTCTTCATCTCCTCTATCGATAAAAAACACTTTTAACAGAAGACTCATACAATGTAATCATTAAATTGCGAAGCCATAACTGGAAGAAAATTTGCAAGAACTCGTTCTCCTCCTCTCCACTGCCTCCACATCCTATCATTTAAGTAGGCTTGGAGGTCTTTAGCCTCTACTCCACGTCGGGTCTTAATTCCGAGTTTCAAATTGTTCCACGCAGATTCGGCCTCTTGAGTATGGACACCGCTTGTAGGATCTACAAAGTTATCGGCGTGAATTACCACCCGATGGAGCGAAACATGGTTGGGAAGATGGCGTTCCAAGTTCTGATAAGCCCCCCCAGTCATCAGTGAAAACTTCGCTTCCGGGCTGGAGGCATTTAGCTAAGATCGGCAAGAGGGTAGCTCTGTCTCTTCTTTCTACTACTTGGTAGTACCCCTTGGCTGGCCGCGTTGCGGTGGACAACACACCAAACACCCACGAATCGGGTGCTCGCCGTCCTCTATTGTACTGTTCATTAAAAAAGAAAAAAATCAAAAACATATTCTGTAAAAAAAGAATGAAAACAGTAGACATTTTTTTTTTTTGCATTAGATAGGCAATTGATGAGAACTTTTTTCAGATTTTTTAGTTCAGACAGCAATAAATAATGCGGGAGATTTCGTGCAATTTTGATAAACGTAGTACTAACAACTGCCCATTTACTCTTGTCAGAAATCTCATAGGAGTTATCTGATCGTCGCTTAAACAGAGCTAACAACTTGCATCAAAACTAAATTAAAATTTACGGGCCTTTTAGAGCGCGGCAACAAATAATTTGTTTCAGCAATCAAAAACTGAGTATCCCACCTTGGCCTTGTGGCTGAATTTGCTCTCGTCGCATTTGACGACAGCTGTTCCGGGAAACGGAATGAACGGGTTTCGTTCAATGTCAGCTGAACAGATGTCTTCCAGACTCCTAAAAACCCTGCATACCAGGTTTTCGTTCAAAGACAGCATCCTGGCTGCCCTTCTGCGTTGTTCATCTTGTGACCAAAAGTAGATAAGCAAGATCAAATCACCAAGGGGTACTTTGGGATATTTCTCAAAAAAACTGTTGGTGCGCAGACTCCTCTTTTTCCGGCACACTGTACATCTCCTATGAAAGGAACAACGTTGATTACTGGTGACTTTTAGGCGGCACTTTTGAGGCTGAGACAGGTTACAATATTGTTCGGTTGGCAAATAACCCGGCCGTGTTGCATATGTTTGGGTGCGAGCCGGCATAATGAGGCTCGCACGACATCGACATCGAGGCTTCCTTGAAAAGTGACAGGGAAAAAAAACTTGTGAACGAAAAATCTCTTCTTTTACCTGAAAGCAGCTCATTTGACAAAGCGCTTTCGCACAACTAAAAATAATCTTCTTTGAATCTTCATGAAAAAAATAGGCTCAAGGAATAATGTCAAACCGGAGGGAGAACATTGCTGACTTCCTTTTTTCGTTTGTTAATTCTTTTTATTTAGCCTCCCTCGCCTCTGCGAAAAGTATTCGATCGAGTTTCCTGCTACGTGTATACACATATCGATCCAGTAAAGAACTTCTAAAAAGCTGAAGTAATAACCTGAAGAAAATTAGTTAAATTCATGTTTTCAATTTCCCCGTGTTGTATTTTCTTTTGTATCTCTGAAAGCAAAATAGACAGATGGGAATACACTTTTCGTTGGTTTCTTTAATTTTATCGCCAAAAGTGTATATCAATTGATAGCAATGATAGACTTCGCTTGCTTGAATTTTTTTCCACATCAGACAGAAACATCATAGAACTCAAATACATTTCTTTTTTATCATCACGGTGGCTAACGATTCTTTGAAAACTGCTTGCTTAACATTCTCGACATTCTTCGACCAAAGCTGATCGCGATCGCTCGTGTTGCTTTGAAACAAAAGGACTATGACACCACGGGTTGTACTTTTTAAATTTTCTTTCATTTAAAACCCGTAACCTAATAAAGAATGCGCAGGATGCTTCAAAAATGTTCGACGTAGTTCATTATTCATGTGATCGAATACAAACAGCATATTAATTGAAATATGCGATATGTCGCGCGCATTCCCTGTTAGCAGAGGTCTTTCATTTTTGCCTCGTCGTGAGAGATCTCTGCTACCAGGGATTTAATCCATGCCAAATGTGAGATTCGTTGCTCTCAGGTGTCATTAAAACAACATATTTTGTGCAAATAGGGTAATAAATATCTTAATAAGGGTTAAATATACAATTCCTACCATTGATAGCCATCTATGTGGTCCCTGGACCTTTCAACTAGAGTCATGTTCGTGTTGCATCCACGGCAATGAAGCGGATTTGCAAGAAGAGAGCGTTGTTGTAACCACCTCCGTTGTCTATCGGTGGAATACTGCTTAAGCTGCATGAAATATTCGAGATTCATTTTCGATTGAGAAAAAGTGTTTGCGATTGAGAGCGATACGTTTTGGAAACAATTAAATATCTTGGCTGCGCGTCAAAGCCAGTGTCAAAAAAGGGGGTGTCTTCCTGCTTTGTTATGATTGACATATTTTCTTTACTTTAAAAAATAATATAGTCAAAACTCTATTAAGCGGCCCCCTATTAAGCGGTCACCCTCTATGAAACGAACCCTTATCAAATTCCCAAAAAGCATTCCCCTTATTTACTGTAAATTTCACCTCCACTAAGCGGTCACCAGAATTCCCAATTGACTAATTTTATTGTATTTCACCTCTATTAAGCGAGCACGTGGTAAATTACAATGCGCTACTTAAAGGATACTTTGACACGATGATACGCGAACCGCGTTCAGTTTCTTTCAACAGCTCATCAAACTCAACATGATATACATAAATACTAGAATCAGTAAGAGTGGTTTTGTTTGCGCGAGAATAGGCCTTCGAGGGCCCACCGCTGTGAACGTCAAATTCCTCCTTTATTAACTTCGCTTGTAGCCAACCATAAGGGGAGGTTAAGGGGAGCAGAGTTGCTGCAGTGGTGAGAGCACTCACCACCACCAATGTGACCCGGGATCGATTACCGGATTCGAAGCCATATGTGGGTTGAGTGAGTTGGTTCTCTACTCTGCTCCGAGAGGTTTTTCTCCGGGTACTCCGGTTTTCCCGTCTCATAAAAAACCGACATTTGATTTCTCCCCAATTAGTAGAGCATGCACTTGTGCTTGCCTAACTACCCTTGAGACTTTAATAAAGTGATTATTATATATATCATTACTTTAAGAAAAACTGTCACTTTCAACGAGGTATTCGCAAGGAACCTCGAGAACGGCCATAGCCACCTCTGTTTACTCGTTTCCCCTTGATTATTACTTTTTCGCAGTTCGTAGGCCTCTTTAGAAACATGCTTAACCACGTAGCCATTAGTGCTGGGACATGACCAATACCTTCAAATCTGACAGTCACATTATTTGGATGAACGTCATCAGCTTCCTGGGCTTCCTTTTCGCCAGAATACTGTATACATGTTACAGTTCCGTTTCTCCCATACTTTATAAAGCGTTTTGCGAAACCTCTGTTTAGCGGTCAGCCTCTATTAAGCAGTCAGTTGGCTCATTCCTGAGGGTGACCGCTTAACAGAGGTTTGACTGTAGAAGGGTTGTACATCAGTGATAGTCCGACGTCCCTTTACCGCAACCGACCATGGCGGCCTGATGCAACGCTATGTGTCTGTGACAGTTCTCCCTCCTGCGTAATGAAATACTTCAGTATTGTATTATTCGACTATCTGGTTCAAAAACAACTTCTTATTTACTAATAATAGAACATAATATACAGAATATCAGAGATTTTTGCGTGGTCAGAGTTCCAACCCACTTGAGCTTAAAGATCTCAGTGTCAGACAAGTCTGTGTCCGAAATTTGAAGTTCACTCTAAGTTTCCCACTAGTACTCGTCAATGTAATTACACTAACGGAGTTTAGTATGCTACCTTTCTTAATCAAAGAAGACGGCTTAAAATGCAGAAAATGCAAGCGATTCAAGAGCCATGATGCGAAATGACTGGTAGGAAACAATGGCGCCCATGAGAAATTATGTCTGGTAAATTACCATATCAAGTTAGAAATTTGTAAACAAGTTAGTAGGGAAGGAAAGACGACCAAATTAAGATTTTTTGCTAAAACATCAAATTTTTCAAGAACTAATTCGAAACTTTTCAGCCGCACGAACTTCGTCTTTTCCCTACTTTCTTCTTCTTTTTTTTTTTAGCCCAGTATTTTGTTGTCAATGACATGTTTTGATTTATTTTTAGAGGAAAGACTTTTTCTGTGAAATTAACACGGAACAAAAGAAGGGTACATAGAAGTGTTGTGCCGCGTAACGCTATGAACACAAATGGTGGAACAGAGAATTAACTCTGAAGTCCAAATGAAAGTGCTAAGTGAAACCCACGAAAAACCCACTGGGCGTTAGCCTAGCAAAGGAATCGAGGGAACCACACGAGGTCATGAAAAAATTTTCACGTTACCTTGGTGGGAATCGAACCCACGACCTCCGGATTAGATCTACCGTTTCTTGTTCTAAGCCGGAGGTCGTGGGTTTGATTCCCACCGAGGTCATAAGAATTTTTTTTTTACCTCGTGTGATTCCCTGATTCCTTTTACTAGGGCTAACGCCCAGTAGCTTTTTTTTGGGGTTTCACTTAGCATGTCAATTTGCACTTCAGAGTTAATTCTCTGTTCCACCATGAATGAAAGAAGCCCTATATAATTTCGATCCTGGTTTGGTCTGGTTTGTTGTTACTATGGAATAACCTGACGTACAGAAAGTTGCTGGTGAAACGATAGGTTTCAGTTGGTCAGTGATGATGATTTTACCAACGTTTGTGAACTCGGCAAAAATAGGACTTGAAGACTTGAATACTTTGCGAGGGTGCAGAACGAAACGTTTAGCAAATAGGATTTTGCTAAGAGCGGCTTGAACGGCACTGGAAACGGCGCTGAAAATGCACTGAAAATGGCTCGGAAGAACTCTATCTTTGCAGCCTGCACTTGTTTCCGTATGCCAGAGGTACAATGAGGATCTAGTTCCTAAGTCTCATAACGCGAGAGAACGGCAGGTATACTGGACACTTCTTCTGGAACACAGCAAACTTCGTTAATCATGAATAAATTTCATATACATTTCACGGCTCGTTGTAGGTAACCCTCTAGGTTGTCTCCCAGGGTAATCAAGGTAATCGCTTTTCAGCAGTTTTCGCATTACTTTTATAATTATATCATCTTACGAAAACACAGGTATTGCCTTATACAAAAGAATACAATAGCTTTAACACTAAGATAAGTGAAGGCTTATAACTACAGAACATCCGATTGGTTAGTTCAATCTTCCCGAGGCAGTGCAAAGCGTATATCTGCTCAGGTTATGGCAGTTGAGCTAGGTTAATATATTGAAAATGCACGTGTTGTCTACCATAGTGAGGGTGGCAAGGAGGGGGGGGGGGGGGGGTATTTTTTTTGTCCTTTTTTTTTGTAGGCCATCACGCATCACGGAAAAAAACAGGTCGTCGCGCATCACGTAGTTTCACATAACACATCAAAGACACTTCACCTATCACGGAAGTCTAATGCCGGGATAAATCACGCGCGGAGTAATAAATCGCTCATCCCGTGCCTAATTCGGGTCCTATCACGCAGCAAGGTAATTATTTTTGGCGCTATCACGAGTCAAGGAAAATCCCTTTGCCACCCTCCATAGTTTGTTCTACTAGGGTAGATGAAGGTTCTTTGATATGCAAAGTATTTACTGACTAACAGTTGTGCAAGCACGTGTTCTATTGAAAATGACTAACATTTGTTCCATTGCAAACGACTAGCAAGACAGACATGTGCTAGATTTATGGTCAATTTGACAGGCATTTATCGGTTCTGAGGATTTTTGGATTTGAGGGCGTGTATGTCCTCTCGTGATACCCCTCCCTCCCCCATCTTTTTGGGCTCTGAAGATTTTCGGATTTGTTTCCTTGTACTTAGGTAGGGGTCTATTTCCTCTCTGATACCCACTTCCCACCTTTTTATCGAAAACTTCAAAAATTCGTTCATGGTACAGTAAATCTGATTTGGAAAACAAGACAATTAGAAAGATTGAAAATGTAGTTCTGGTATGTGAACAAAAAGAAGATCAAACAGCGTGGAGTTTTTAATGACGCGACTTAGCAAACACAACTATACTAGCTTACTCGACATTATCTCCGGGAACCAGAGGAAGTTAAAATTTTCTACAGGATACGAAATATTACGTGGTACGGATGCTATGACTATAGTATACTTAATAGCAAAGTATTGCTGATAGCTAATAAGCTAAAATGTAAAAAAACTTGTATTTGCGGAGTGTGGCGGGAACTCGCCGATAGATACTTGATTTTTTGTTATATTCTTCAATGTTACTATTATCATTGCTAATTCTTGTATGGATTTCTGATCCATTCTTTTTCAGTAAAGATGGAAGTTTACTTGTCGCGGGATAACGTTATCTTTGCTACATCTTATGATGAAACTCGTTGAGCACTAGAAGGGTGTTAACGTAGGTGTGGTCTTTCAGGCGAACGGATATAAGTACAAACAGCAACGTTGGACTGTGGTATGGACTTGCTTGGACGCTATCCAGTGAACAATAGTTATGAACACCAAAGGGATCTGGACTGATATAGATCTTAGGGCGTCAATTCGTTGCTCTCGATAGTATCAGGTCCTGAGGGCTAACGTCTCCATAAGAACACATTAACACGTGCAGCCCCCTCCACACTGGGTCTATTTTTGGACGATCCTGACGATCAAATATGGTTTCGGCAAAAACTTTATACTGATATCTGTGACCAGTCTGCTCCATGGAAGGAGATCAAAGTCAGAGCATCTTCTGCACCGTGGATAACAAATGCCTTTCATTTAGCAATGAATCGAAGATACAAGTTGTTTAAAGCTGTTGTTGCATCAAAAAGAGCAAAATTGTAGTCGGACTATAAGAGAGCAGAAACAAAATAACCTCGGATTTAGGACCAAAGCTTTATATTTTTTGAAGATGTTTAACGAGGTTAAGAGTTCGAGTGCCTATTGGAAGCTGGTGAAGGAAGCAACTAGCTCAAGGGTACGTAAACCAATTGAGCCACTAAGAAAGTGTGATGATTCTTTGGTGCTAACCGAGGAAGAAAAGGCTGGCCTAATGAACTCGTTCTTTGCTAACATTGGTACGAATATTGCAGCCAAACTACCAATACCACCTGGGAATGCAACAACAGGCGCTTATAGATCAGACTTAGCTGATACGTCACCCCTGCTACTATCTCAAATTGAGGTCTCTCCTAGGAGAATATGCATGCAGGACGGTCAACGAACTAAAGTCAAATAAGTCTTCGGGCCCTGACAACTTATCACCTAAATTACTAAAGCTTGTGGGGGAAGACATTGTAC